CACCAATTCTCGGGGTGTCTAATGGAGGGGGGGTCGGGTCTTCCATTGAAAGCCTCAGGAGCCTCTGGGCAGTGAAACCGGTGTTCGTCGGGATTTTGGGGAGGGGTCGACTGAGTTTTTGATCCTTTTCTTTCTTTCTCTTTTTGTTTTGGGGGGCGAGGTTGGGGTTGGGGCGAGTTTTGGCTAGAACTCCAATAGTGGGAACACATCTGAAGGAATACTACTTCTTGTGCCTTATTTCCTGGTGTTTGTCACCATAGGAATAAAACAGGGGGAAGCCATGATGTAACACTCCCAGTAGTCGACAACCACCTGTGCATAAACTCAGTTGTTCAGCGGCTCCCTTTTTCCTTTTTTTTGGTTGCTGCCCCACTAAATGGTCTTCCCCAAAAAAGGAATCCAATGGATTTTTTCCAGGGTCACTGAACAACTGAGTAAAGCCCTGGCGGTTTTCCCCGTTTTTTTGGTTGGAGGAAGCTGACCGTTTCACGTCCAAACGGTGCCCCATGGCCATGAGAAGAAGGCCTACGATCGAGATCCCACCATGGCGACGCGGGACTTTTTGGAGTCCGGCTTTGGATAAGCCAAGGCCGAACCGCATCTTTTTTTGGGCTACCTCCCTTCTTGTGGTGTATCCCCACCCCCTTCCCCCTGCATGTTGCAATTGGGGGGGGAGTTTGACCCCTGAATTTCATTTATGGTTTCATGTTCCCTTTCATGGAACATACTAGATTCCTCTCCCCTCAAGATAGGGGGGTTGTTGTTTTCTGGTTTCGAGCTGGTGATTAATTTCAGATGGCTCAGATGTTTGCACCAGCGGCATCTCCCGCTGTTGAAAGGGTGTCCCTTCTGGGCGTCACAGATGTTGGTCGCGAAACTGTACGAAAACGCGGATCAGAAAACGGAGCGCCCAGAAATGAATCTGTTCCCTTGGGCGAAGTGATCGGATGGATGCGACCCTGCGACGTCGCACGCGGTGAATGAAACCGGCCGTTGAAACCAGGGATTTCTTGGTGAAACACGCGGGAATCATTCATCATAAACCAGGGTTTCAATAGATTGAGTGGTGCGAAATGGATGGATTTCGCGTCATCCACAGTACCTCCCGAAGTTGGTTGGGTTCATTTAACGGTCCGTTTCAAGCAGATCTCGTTGAAGCTTCGATCGACACTGTCCATGGCTCAGAAGCTCTCCATCTACGACAGGGAGGCGCTTTCAGAGAGCCGCATGGGCGCCCAGCGAAGCTTGGTGTTTTGTTCTTGCTTCCACTGGCTGAAGTGTGTGTTCTTTGTGTGCGTGTGTGTTTCCCCCTGATTTTAAAAGGAATCAGGGAATCTATCGTTGTTGTTGTTGTTTTTTCTTTTTGCTGAAGAAAAGGCATACGGTTTCTTCCATTTGCTGACAAGGGTATGTGATATGTGTCCCTCTTGGTTTTAAGTTGAATGGATTTCACTGCTGGACTGTTTTTTTTTTTCCGGGGGACGGAAAAGCAAATTGGAGGCCGCCTCGTGTTCCTCGAATTTCCTGGTCGGAGCCTCCAAAAGTGGGTGATGGTTTTCATAACCCGAGCCAAGTCTTGATCAAACTCTGTTGCCCAGTGGCGCGTTTGTTCCCCTAACTCAAGCAACCCGAGAAAATAATCGGATGCCCTTCAGGTCGTTTTTTTTCCCATGGACATCCACTGGGCATCTGAGCAACTGGGTCAAACTGCCTCCTTCCCTGCGTTTTTTCTTGGGACCCCTCAGGATCGAGCACGAAAGACCTGAACAACAAGCCTTTCGCAGGGCTTCCCAAGAGGACTGCGCTTTGAAGGGATCCGTCTTCTGGTCCGCCTGAAAAAAAACCGGGCCCATGTTTGGCAATTGGGAAGCCAGTCAGAGTTCCAGTCTTGGTCTGAAATCGGCAAGCTGGCTTTGAATGGAGTCAGTTTCTGGGGAAATAAGAGGCAAAGTGCCTGTTGACACCCTGATCCCGGAAACCAAGCAAACTGTGCGAGGAACCTTTCACGTTCTACGGGACCCGGCTATATTTGTTCTCAATAAACCAAAACAACGGAGATCAAAAGGCAAGCCGGGGTTCCCTATATCTCCTTTGGGCTAGTTTGCTTGTGGTGTGATGTTTTCAGCGGGGAAATATGGGTGTGGGTCAAATTAAACCACCAGGATATGGACCGCCGGTTTGAGTCATGCAGGGTTCCATTTTGAGTACCCATTTTGGACCCACCGCCATATGGGGAGTCCCTATGTTTTAAAGGAAATATTGGGAGCCCCCTTGCGCACGCCAAGAGGCGCCTTGACCGCATTTGGGGAGGCGTGCGGCCGAGCCTTGGCTTCAGGCTGGTCCACGGAAGAGTTGGACATGCCGTTCGACAAGAAGGCCGGCAGAGTCCTCTGCCATGCCAAAGCCATTCTCTCACGCCATCGAAACGAGTCGAGTGCCGTTTCGGACTTTTTATCGTCACTTTTTTTGGAGCCATAGAATGTGGTATAGATGGAAAGTTTGATTGAGCTTGTGGTGGCCAAGCTACTTGATCGGAAGTGAGTTCTTGTCTTGCGTTTGGGCTTAGAAAAAAAAGAAGTCCAGCGTCGCCAACAACGGGGGGGAGACTTTCTCTTTCCCCACGGCTGCTGGAGGTCCGTGCCAAAGGCGGTGAAGCATCGGAACAGGATGAAGGATTACCTACGTCAGAGGGCGCCTTGCTACCTAAGGAGGTACCGAACGAGCCCTTTTTACCCTCCAAAAGCCATCCTCCCGAGGCATCAAGGGACCCTGGGGTAGAAGTTGAGTTCTTTGTCTTGGAACAAAGTCCACTGCCACTCAAAAAGGGGCGGCCTTTCTCTTCCCCATGACCACTGGAGGTCCATGGATTACCTTACGAAGTTGGGTGCCCCCTTTGGAGTTGAAGTCCTCTTGGTCCCGGCCCCGATCGATTTTTTGCTCACGACTAAAATCTGAGAGAGTGCTTGATTTTTGCTTGGTCTGTCCCGGGGATTTGGATCAGGAGACCCTGAGCACCAAAACACTTGGCAACTTGCTAGCCTCCACGGAGGAGTCCTCAGTTCCGATTGAGTTCTTGGACTTTGTTGTTCACTTTTTGGGGTGTGGTTGCCATTTTGGTGGACCAAAGGTTTGGTTGAGCCTTTTGTTGTTCCATCTACTTAGTCGGAAGCGAGAGGCTCGACCATCGAGAAGCAGACATCGAGAATTCGCGCGCTCGATGCCCAGCAAGCTTCAGGCTTACAGGCTTGGGCTTCGGCAAGCAATGCATGCAGCAAGCAGGGGAAACGCAGCTTGAGATCTGTATCACATGGGGTTGATTTCAGGCTCTAGACTTGGAGAGTCAGCTTCTCTCAAGAACCTTTCAAAACTAGAGGCTGCAAACGGAACCTGGTTCTGAAGCTATTGCTTACCAAAACGGAAGGGTCCAACCAAGAACCTGGTTCCACTTAGAAGCAGCTCACAAGGGGCACACGGAAACCTCAACTAGGTCCCCCAGTGCCCTTCTCTCCCAACTTTTTTGGGGTAGGGTTCCCCTACTAAAATAGACTACAGAAAAAAAATCGGGTACCCTAACCTCTAACCTCTCAAACCTGGAGGACCTAGTCAAGCGTTCGCCGAATGCCGATGCTCCGTGCCGTGAGTGGACTGCTGGGAGTCAACGGCGGCACGGCCGGGCTCTTTTGGTACGCCAGCTGGCCCAAGCCCGAAGTCCGGCCGCCGTCGAATGGTCTTGAAAAAGCAGACCCTCCCTTCTATTTTTCTTGGTGGCTCCCAGCCATCCGGTTCCTTAGCTTTTTAGTGTTTAGTGGTAGTTCCCGTATAACCCACTAAACGCGCTAAACGTTAAACTTTTCGCGGGGGATCTCAGGGCAGCGCAGTTTTGGGAAACACCCATATGGCGATCGCGTCTGCGAGATGGCTTTTTCCATTCCTAGGTCTTTCTCGGAGGGGGAGAATGACGGGTCTATTTTGCACCCTCCTCCTTTTGGGGTATTGGTTTTTAGGGTTCCTGGCTGCAAAATAGACTAAGACTAAGTGTCCATGGAGCAGCCCATTTGTTTTTGGTGACGTTGCATCGCTATGCCGCAAAACATACCTCCCAAAAGTGGTGTGTTGTAGTCTGTCGCAGGGTGTGTTTGTGTTGTGTGTTTTGGGCGGGGGGGATTTGGGGTCCCCTTCAAGGGCGGGCAGATAGTCAAATATCTCAGCATCAAGTTGTTTGTCGTTAGAGATCCAGACCCTAAAAAGGGTACCCAAGAAAATGACATGCCCATATCAAACACAGTGGTGTTGTTTTTGTCTTGCAGATGAAAGCTTAGAGTAGCTCTTTTCGGGGTCCCCGAAAGGCAATTGATTGTCGCGGTTGTCGCCTGTCTAAAACTTGCAGCTGATGTCTACATCGGTGCCACCAACGGAGAATTACGTTCGCAAACACATCCGCTACTTTGGTGTTCCCCTCATTGTTCTGCTCATCCTCATCATGTGTATTGCCCTTGTGCGGTCAGCGGCCAGTGTGCCTTGAATGTCGCGCCGGAAATCAGTTTGCAATTCAAGGTGGCATTTGCAGTTTGAGTGTCTTTTTGGTTTGGGTTTGGCACGTTTCTAGGCAACTAGACTGCCTGACATGCTATATTATTTGAGGAGAAGGGTCTAATGAACGTTATCATTATTATGGTAGCCATTGTCGTCGTCACCGCGACCAGCATCACCAGCATCTCCATCCGTATCCATTCATACTCTTGCACCTCACTGTCACGGTAGGGCTACACGGGGTTCATGTGACAACCCTTGTGTAATCAGGCCCTCCTTTCCAAGCGGACAGCGGATGTTGGGACTGTTGGGATTGTCTTTTATCAACCGCGCGTTGTTTCTGTGCGTGTGTGCCATACAGGAGGACATATCTCAGCATACATGAGTCACAATCAAAACCCGGGCAAGTGAAGGTTAGTAAGGCACAGTCGGAACCATAAATAGGTGCCCTCGCCGCGTTCTTCATTCTTCACATGGTTCTTGGTGGACCATTTTAATAGCGATCGGTTTTGTTTGTGACTCACATGCAGATAAAAGGCCTGTTGAGTCATAGAGCTGATCAACACCCTTTCAAAATCTCTATCCCCTTCAACATGGAATTGGGGCCCGCACCCCCCTCCTCCCTTGCGGTAGGGGATCTTTCAAAGCTGTTTCCTGCTTGTTTCACCAATTATGTTCTCGTTTATCCAGAATCCCATGATTTTCAGCTGGGATTTGTGCTGTTGATTTTTTTCTGCGGATAAAGTAATTGTTGGGTCGTCTCCATGTGTCAAAATAGGTTGGAGCTCCCTGAAAACATGGCTCTGGCTGTGATTTGATTGTCCCGTCAACCCAACCCACAAAGAGGGTACTTGGTGCTCTGACTCGCAAATTTAGCAAATGAACTTAGTAACCTGGGTTACAACCCACTTGCAACCGGCGTAGGTGAAAAAAACGGGGGGGGGCAACAAAAAAACGGTGGTGATCACCACTTGCCTAACTTGGCGAATCAACATCCACTTAGCGCCAAACAACAATTTTCGCTGAGGACAAGCGTCAGGCCCAGCTGAAGCAGTGGAGGGTCAGCGAAGCGGGCTTGTGCCTCACCGCGCTGCTGGGCGGGTGGCCAGCGGGCTACTGGGCCATGCGCTTCTTCCGTCACAAGTCGGCGTCTCGGCTTTCGGATTTGGGCCTATGTAGCTTTGTCATCTTCCATTTGCTCAAGAAGATGTTTTATTTTCCCTTGTTGGTTAAAAAAGGGAATCGATTTCACTACTTGATTTGTTTTTCCCGGGGGCTTAAGCAAATGGAAGTCATAGGGGTTCATACGGCGGATGGTGACGCGAAATCCATCCAACACACAGCTTTTCTTTACACACCTTGGTTTATGATGAATATTAATGATTCCCCTGTAAATACCAACGACTTTCCCATGGTTTCATTTCGTCGTGCGGTGCCGGATTTCGTGACCATCCACAGGGGCCCAGAGACTTGTGGGATAAATCCCATAGGACTTCCATCCCAAATAAGTGGACCTAGAGTCTCCACAACCCCTAGAAAAAGGGGTCATGACCCCTTCATTTTGGGTAATGACCCCATTTTTGAAGGGTCATGGAGACTCCATGGACGTCAGGTGTCCTTTGGGCAAGAAATCGCGGTTGAGCCAAAGTGAAAGGTCAAAAAAACCAATTTCCTTGGGTCCCAAGACAAAGAAGTCCCCCTTGAAGGGGGGGTCTCCCAAGAGGAGGTTCCCCTCTTCGAAGTGTTTCTTGGAAGTCTATAATTCTGGTCACCGGGGGAAGGGGTGTGTCTCGAAATACCCTCAAAAGCACGACAAATGGTATGCTCGCCTTTACTCCTTGAAGAGGTTGCAGTTGGAGGGTTGTATGTGTGAAGCAGAAGTAGTCCAACTTGTGTTGAGACGTATACGTATCTAGACAGTGGGAAACAATATTTCTGCAAGAAGCTCATATGGCATGTTAATTTCAACTATCACTTGGAATTGATTGGCAATTTCACCCACCAGCTTTCTATTGAGTATCACCTCTTGATATTTCTGCCGCAGGAAGCTTCCATTTGGTGGGAGGTGTTTTATGCAACAAAAATCTGACCTTGTCAGTCACCACATTAGAGCAGTGGCTCGCAGAACACCTTTGGAGAAGTGGGCTCTTACTCCTGATGAACAAGGAACCTCAAGAACACCCATTGGTAGAATGTACAAAAGGAATTGCAGTACACTTGCAGGCGACAGGATAAGTGTATATAATCATTGACCAGCTGGAATTCATCCTCCTTTTCCCTAAAAGGACTCTTACTGTGGATGGACAAAATCCTGCACCACCTAAAAACCCTACAATGATGTGTCCCCGGTAAGTACCAGCAAACAATGGTTTCCCATGGTTTCATTTTGGTGCAGGATTTCGTCCATCCACGGTATGGTCAAAGGCGGTTCTTCCCCGTGAGGCGAAGAAGAGCTTCCAAGACAAGTACGCGGCCGCCGCGGGGTGCAACTTGCTGGCCCTTTGCTCCTTTCACCCGAAGCTTCGACCGGTGCTTCGCTCGGGCGCAGTGTCCGCTTTTCCTGGCGTTGTCGTTGCGGCTGTTTCTCTGTCCCCATTAGTGCCCTTGTCTCCCCTTTTTGGTTGGGAGGGTTCCCCCAGTAAAATGTGCTACAGAAAAAAGTCCGGTACCCTCAGTCTGACGTCTCTCTACTGGAAGACCTAGTTGTGTCTTCCCACTTCAAGTTGTCCAGATGTTCTTCTTGGTGGGTGTTGTAGCTCTGGGCGTTCCCTTCTGTTCCTTTGTGCTGCTTATTAGGTTCGTCCTTTGTTTGCCAGGAGTCATTTGCTGTTCTGTTTTCATGCTTGCCCGGTGTGATGTTCATGCTTGTTTGTGTCCGGCTCGTCCCTTTCTTTTACCCTTGGCTAAAAAAACGTCACTTTTTGGCTAAGTGATGCTTTGCTGAATTTTCGCAAACCCCCTCAAATCGGACGGATATACGAGGGCAGGGGCAACGCAAAAAGGCAGTGTGACCAAAGTCAGCACGCTGTGCGCCAACCCCAGCACAAAACCTGCTCATGACCCTTACAGCTAACGGCCATGCAAATCTCCATCGCTCGTCACGAGCATGTCACTTGCAGGTCGTTTGCTCGGCCTGCGCGTCGCTTGCGCGTCGCCTCCAGTCGCTTGCGTTTTGCTCCGTGTCACTGGGGTGTCGATTGCGTGTCGCCTGCGCGTCGCCCCGTGTTGCTTGCGTGTCGCCCGGTGTCGCTTGCGTGTCGCCCCGTGCCGCTTGCGTGTCGCCTGCGTGTCGCCTGCGTGTCGCTTGCGTGTCGCTTGCGTGTCGCTTGCGTGTCACGCAGAGTGAAAGTGCTGTTTTGGGGCCCCAAGGCATGAAATTTTAGCCCCCAAAGCATCACTTCGGAAGCGAAAGCGTGTCGCTTGCGTGTCGCTTGCGTGTCGCTTGCGTGTCGCTTGCGCGTCGCCTGCATGTCGCGCGTTTCGGCCAGCGTCGCTCGCGCGCCGCTTTGCGTCGTGCTCGCTTCGCCTCGTGTCGATTGCGTGTCGCCCTGTGTTGCCTGCGTATTGCCCCGTGTCGCCCCGCATTGTCCCAATCTATTTTGTCCAGATCTAGGCTCACAGTGGGGGTGGCAAATATGCAGACAGTTCTTATGGCCGCTGAGCTTAGAAAACGCTTGGCAGACTCAGCTGCCATGAATGGGCTGAGAATGGTCTCGAAAGTGGTGGGTTATAGACCTGAAGTGCCTTCAAACTGGCGGCACTTTCACAAAATTGAGAACAACGGTCGTTGGGTGGTCCTGGTCGAGGGGACGCGTTTGTTTCCCACAGAGCAACTGGGCGAAGGTGCTGAAGAGATGGTTCCGCCGCTGAAAACGCGCGGCAGCGATCTTGGAGTGGGACCCAATGACGAAATTCGGGTTCTGTGAAAGGAACCGCCGGATGCCTCGAACTTCATGTGCGAAGCTACATGGCGCCATGCACAGAAAGGAGCTCTTGACGAGCATTTCGGAGCACAGGAGAACCCCTACAAATCGACCAGCGAGTGAGCAAAAGAAGGTTCCCAAGCGCCAGCCAGGTGACAGGGCAGAGGAGGCAGCAGCTGTTCTGCGATGGTTTATTCATCCAGTCTCTCTTGGAAGAAACGGCTGCTTCTCAACGGGATGTTTGGAGACAGAGGGCCGTTGGCAATAGCTGTCCACTGAGATCTCGCGGGAGAAGCGCCGCTTAGCTCCGAGAGAAGACCAAAGACGTGCGGAAAAGAAGCCGAGCGATGCGGACTCTAGCGCCGTACGTTTCAATGCGGATGTGCTTATCCAAAGCTATGCACTGCTCACTCCCTGGGTTCTTGGACTTGATCCAAAAAGCTTGGACTGTTTTTCCCCAATCCACTCAGGAACTCAATTGTTCAGTGGCACCAATCCTTTCTCCCCAAGCCCAAAAAAGGGTGTCCATTCTTTTTTCCCCGTCACTGAACCACTGAGGGAAGAACATCTGTCTGGTTGAGCCTCACTTTTTTGGTTGGCATCCAGCCCACTGGATCGGAAGTGAGACGAAAAAAAGAGAGACGACGTGACCGACCTCCACCAAGCGCCCGTGCCAGGCCGTCTTCTGGCACTTGGCGCGGCGGCCTGGATCCTCCTTTTCGCTCGAGACCCACTTCTGAATGGCCCAAAGTGAAAAATATTATTGGTGTCACATTCTATGCCTAGAATAACATGATAAATTTACAAGTACGTTCAACAATTATTTAAACAAACTTAATTAACTTACAACACTATTTTTTTTAATTTCATGCGTTTGGAGCGGGGTTGAATGAAACCCCTAGGCAGCCTTGAGCTGGTCGAGTGTCAACTTGGTAACAGAGCAACAGACCTTTGGTGGTTTGAAGAGGGAGCGGTTCTGGTGCCAGGAGTTCTGGGCGACATGGTACTGTCCCAGAGGGTCCAAGTACCTCCTTGCGGGGTAAAATGGGTCCCTAGAAGGTACCAAGGGACCATTTGGGTGCCCATGCCTTGTCAAAAGACCTTTGAGATTGCAGTCAAGACCTGACTGTAACGGTCGTCAAAGGTTGCGGCCAAACCCCCGTGCGACCCCTGCAAAAAGCCGGCTCTTCATTTCAAAGAAGGGAAGCGACCTGAGGTGGAAGCCTTCGAGGACAGCAAATCTGAGTACGATCTGGCTCAATTTGCTTACAGAGATTAACCATGCTCAACCACTTGAACTACCAGAATTCTATGGACTGTGTAGAATCGAATCCATTCTCGCAGCCAGTGATTGTTCCTTACTTCCTGAGTTCCTGGACTTTAGGCTTTTTGGAAAGACCATGTCCCTGTGGTAAACACACGTGTTTTTGTTTTTTGGACCATCCACTCGGGAAGTGAGAAACCCGACACTGGCCATTTTGTCTTGTCGCCCACCCGGTGAGACAATTCTTGTCGGAGACCTGTGAAATCCAGCACCCTCCCGATTTCCTGGGTCCTTCGATTCACATTAGTAAGTTGTTGGTAACCCTATAGGTTATAACCCACTTCTATGCCCCCCCCAAGTGGGGTTAACCCTGTTGTTAGTGAGTACTACCCCAAGTAGCCAACCACTCACTTACTAGCTTGGCGAATCGAACATCCAAGTACTTGTAGCGAGCACTGGATCCAAGCCTCTATCTTTTGGATTCTTTTGGAAATCAAAAGGAGGACCTTGCCATTTGACTATGGCTCAAGATTTAACCACCAGGGAACAGCAGGTTTTAGTCCTTGGTTCCATTTACCAGGGTTCAACCCATTTTGGGGTTACCCTATTTTTGAGACTCCACGTTGCCATTTTGTCGGAAACGCGCAAGTTCTCTCCCTTTTGTTTTTCTCGGAAGCCTCACGAAAGGGGGAGGCCATTTTATAGTTACTATGGAATGGGTGTTCCGACCCCACCAGGGGGATGGAGATTCCATTTCTCTTTTTGGAAGGAAGCCACAGGTCGAAAGGGACAGGGCTCGCTGGTTCTATTTCCTTCCCGAGATCGGCACCTTCGTGGGGGTGCGGCGCATCATCTTTGACCTTGCGGACTTCACCGGGGAGGAGAAGGAGAAGGCGCGGATTGGATCCACTTCCACCGCGCCGAAAGAAGAAGAGCACCGAAGACATGGGAGGTCAAAATTGAACAGCTCAAATTGCGCAGGTTTTAGTGGATGTTGTTTTTTTTGTTTTTTGTTTTTTTTTTTGTGAGGGTTCCATGTTGGACCCCCATTTTTGAGCCACACCCGTGTGTGGAAGCACCTTGCACTTCTCCCCCTGTAAAACATACAAATATGTCCAGTAGTGGCGTATTTTCTTGAAAACCAACAGGGGAAAAAGAAGGGTACTCTTAAGCAAATGGAGGCTTTGGTTGTAAAACGTGCTGTTTCTGATGTGCGTGGGTTGGTACTTTGGGAAAATGAAGAAAGCTTCCCAATGACTAGCAACATGGTTAGGTCTTGTTTGTTCCACAAGCAAACATGAGGTTCAACCTCGCAGCAAAAAACCCCAAAATTTTGGTGGTGTCCCTTCGAGTTCCTTCAAGCACCACAAAAACACGGTACCCTCAAACAACGGCACATGCAAGTGCAGAGCTTCGCCGTTTGTGCTTGCCTTTTGGGCTCTCCCTATTGAAAGGCAGTGCGCCGATCATTTTGGGTTCCCATGTCCTTGCCAGCTCGTTCACCTAAAACTCCCGCAGGAAAAGCAAGCCGAGCCCTAAACCGTGGGAACCCAAAGGGTAGATTCTTGAGTTGGATGCTTTTTTGGGTTCCAGTGCCCGAAGCCATCTTCAACGGACAAGAACCCCAAGACCTGAATACCCTGTTGGCATCCTTGTGACTTCTGTGGGCAACATCCACTTGGCACCAGTTGGGATGGATGAGCCCTTGGAATACTGCGACAAAGCCACCTGCCAACTGGTGCCCACGCGGGTGGTTTTGCGGTAGCCCTAGTTCAGGACCCCTGGTGCAAGTCTCTGTAGACTCCTGGCCTTGGCGTGCTCTTGCTTGGCTAGGTCCCCCAGCTAGGTGCCCTTTTATCCTTTTTTGGTTGGGAGGGTTCCCCTACTAAAATAGACTACAGAAAAAAAGTTGATACCCTTATTCTAACCTCTCAAATCTGGAGGACCTTGTTGGATTCACTTGCGAAATGGGCGAAACATTTGTCTGCCGCGACGTCCTTGGGATCTTTGTAGGTGAAGAGCATGCTCCACAAGCAGGGCATCGCGTTACCGGGAGGCGTGTTTGGTGTGGAGCTCGAGATGTGGCCAAGGGAATCAATGGCTCCAGTCAAAAAGTGGGGGACCACCAAAGGGTGGCACGTATCTTGGCGGCTCCCAGCCATCCGGTTCCTTAGCTTTTTAGCGTTTTAGTGTTTAATGGTAGTTTCCATTTAACCCACCAAAGTTAAACTTTTTGCAGGGGATCTGAGGAAACCCAGATATGTGATGGGATTTTTGTAGGTTTTTGTTACGTCCAGATGGCAATGCTTGTTGAAGAAGGCCTTCGTCTTGAAGGAGGCTGTGCTGAGTGGAATTTGTGAAAGGCTTCAGTTGGTTCCTCCAGATGGCAACTGCTTGTGGCCTGACCGCGAAAACACATTCTGTCTGGCTAAAAAGGTTGCATGCCAAGGAAGATGTGTGTTGGTTCTTCCCCAGAGTTGATCAACTCAATTCGCGCACTGCAGCTTAGCTGTTGAGCAAAAGGGCTTTCCTCCCTTCAGAAAGAGTCACAAAGCAGCGGCCGCTTTTGGAAGGCTCCGCTTTCTTTCAACGCCAAACCCAGTCCCCTCCCCCCCTTCCCACTCCACATTTGTCCATTCGATTTGCTGCCAGACAATCATTTTGCCCAGTTTCTGAAAACGGAAGTTGCAGCATGGCTTCGCAGCAAAATGGGTATCCCAAAGCGAAGTTGCGTAACGTTTCTTGGGCCGCCACCTCTTCAGAAGCCTTCCTGATTCACCCAATTGATTGAAGGTGGGCAAACGACTTTATGGCTATTTGGTTGGATCTTTGGACTTCAACTTTTTGCAGAGGGTCAAACACCTCAACCAAGACGGGGTAAAGCATGCTTCCCCCGAGTTTTTGTCATGGGGGCCGGGGGGGAGGGAAGGGATGGGGAGGGAACCCTTATTGGACTTATTGCGGATTTATTTGGGCTCCCTCCCCCTCCCCTCCCCCCCCCAGGCCCTCCAGCCCCCCAGCCCCCCCAAGTTTTCTGGTTCGAGCTTGGTGTCATCCCCGAACTCAGTGCTATTTGCCAGGCCTCCCTCGCCAGGCCGCGGAAGGGGCGGGCGGGACGAAAGAAGACCTTTGGGCCGTTTTCAGCTTCCATTTGCCCTGGGTGAATTAGCACGACCTCACACGACCGAATTCACCAACCAAATGGTGGGTTTATGTGGGGAAGAGCCGCCCAACGACCGCAAGTTTCAGGTGGGTGAAATATGATCATGTTTGCAGTCGCTTCCCCGGTCGATTTTAAAGGCGATCGATTTCACTGGACCAATTTGCCAACATTTCTGATCCAGTGGATACACGCGCAAATGGAAGCCAGGCTTACCAAGTTGGATTGCCGGATCTGGACGAGTGGCTTTTTGAACATGTGGTTGCTTCCCGTGCTTTTTTGAGGGCCCACTTCTGATGTTCGGACACCCACTAGATCCCAATGAATGGGCTAAAGGATATTATGTTGAGTTGGACTAAGCAAAATTGGCGCCTTGGCTCAATTGATTAGGCTTCGCAACGCTTGCTGCGATTGCATTTGGTAGGATATTTGAGTGTGACAATGTCCGCAGAAAAGCAACAGTTTTTGTTTTTTCCCGGGGAGCCAAAAAAGTAGTTGACACTTCTTGACCGTGCTCAAGCTGGTGGGGACGTTGGTGAACAATTCGCATCGGCTTTCGGTACAGCAAACCGTTCCTAGGCGTCAATTCCTGCCTTCGAGCCTATCTTCCGTCGCAGCAAGGATTCCTTGGCGTCAATTCCTGCAGGCCTGTGGCTCGACACGCGTCCCTCGTCCCAAAGTCTCAATCCGCGTCGTCTCGAAGTTTCGCCATGGCCAACCCCGTGGCCAAGTTCGAGACCACCCAGGGCACCTTCGAGGCGGAAGTCTTCCTCGACAAGGTGCCTATCACCGCCTCGAACTTCATCGACCTGGCGAAGAGCGGCTTCTACGACGGCATCCACTTCCACCGCGTCATTCCGAACTTCATGAACCAGTCGCTTTATGAAAAATTGGCTCTTTTGGTTGAACTTCTTTGGTTTTTCACTGACTCACTTCCTGAGTTCCTGAACTTTACACTTCTTTGGAAGACCGCTTTAGTTGTACCTGGAGTCTCCATGACCCTTCAAAAATGTGGTCATTACCCAAAATGAAGGGTCATGACCCCTTTTTCTAGGGCTCGTGGAGACTCTAGGTAAACAAAGAAGTTCAGACCTGATTTGAGCCATCAACTCAAGAAGTGAGTTGAAGCCACGAAATGTGGTTCACGTTGTGCCGCGGCCAAGGTTCGGCTGCCCTTTTGCCAAGGATGCCAAGAGCGGCCGCGCGGGCACGGGAGGACCGCCTGACGGCACCTTCAAGAACCTCAAGACTGGTGCCACGGAGACCCGGCGGCTGCCTGTGCCCCCCCCCTTTGTTTTGTCCTTTCATTTTTGTTCCGCTGTGTTTTTTTTTTGTGTGTTTTTGTGTTATGGGGGGGGGGTTCCCCCATTCTGACATGCTCATAGAACCCTTTTGAAATTGTGCTCATGCTTTATCCCACGCGGCAGCTTGATATTTGGTTTCGGCAGGGATTGGGGGCTCCACTCGCTGCATTTGTTAGGGGAGCAATGTGGCGGAACCAACCAGCAAACGTGGTGGCTCCCAGCCATCTTGTTAGCTGTTTAGTTTGTTTAGTGGTCGGGTTTCCATTTAGCCCACTAAAAGTTAGTCACTGCCAGTAAGGGATCTGAAAACGGACAGCCCAGCAAAGGATGCCCTGTTTTCCCCATGGAAATCTGGGCATTTGAGGAGACTCGAAGCAACGGCGGCAACATCAAGGACGAGAATATCTCGAGGGACACAAACGCGCCTGGCACTTTGTCGATGGCAAACACTGGTCAGCCAAACTCCGGTGGCTCTCAGTTCCTTCGCTGCTGTTGAACTTCCTTCACTGCTCTTGGCATATGTTTTTGATTTTTTAGTTTGTTGGTTCTGTTCAATTTTACTGGGGGTCTGCAAAAAACAGAGTTTTTCGCTACCATACCAAGAGTAGAGATGGTTGGAAGGTGTTTGTTGTTTTTGTTTTTGTTGGTTTTGTTTTTTGTTAGTAAAGAGCAACCTGTTTTTGCAAGCCCATAGCAATGGTCAGGTAACCTTGAGTTGGTGTTTTGGATTGGCGATTGAGGGATTTGAACCCCTAGCTTTTGTAGAGTGTAAACCCTTCACTGAACCCAAACCATGGCTCCAAACCTTTCGTCGTGTTGGTTGTAACAGTGGTTGAGACCATTGCTTTCTGGATCCCCAGTTGCCCTTATTTGTCAGTTGCTATTGCCAATTTATGGGCTACTAGTGGGTAAAGTGGCAGGAGCAAAGTGGCTACTTGGGGATCCAGGTTGTTGGTATTGCGAGGGAGTCAAGTCATTCCAGGGGCTCTGAACCGTGGGATTTCTGGAGTTCGCAACCAACCACAGTAGTACTTCTTATTTGTGCCAATTTTCGGTGGGCCTGTTTTGGGTGCACTCCCCTCTCTTGTTCATGTGTTTCTTAACTTTCGTCCATCCACAGCACTTGTAAGCTATGACCCAAAGTGTTTCCGGGTATTTCATGGGAACCCCAATTTACTAGGCATGTACCAACACCAATGACTCAGAGTTTTCTTGGCGCTGGAGTTGGGGAACTCCTCTCTCTTTTTCGCAACCATCCATCATGTGTTTCTTAAAAAAAGAAAAGCAAGTCGCCACCATCCACTGAGGTTTCATGTTTTGTTTTGTTCCGCCATCATGGTGTTATTTATTTTTATTCCTTCTTCTTTGTTTGTTATTTGTTTATTTCGCCACCATCCACTGAGGTTTCATGTTTTTTTCCCCGCCATCATGTGGTTCTTTCTTTGTATTATTCCTTCTTTTTCCGCCATCATGTGGTTCTTTCTTTGTATTCTTCCTTCTTTTTCTCCGCAGCCATCCACTGAGGTTCTTCATCAACGTGGCCAACAACGACTTCTTGGATTGGTTCGGCCCCGGCGACTCCAAGCACCCGGTCTTCGGAAAGATCATCAGCGGCATGGCGACTCGGCTCGCTAACATGTCAGTGGTCAACAATACTGTGGATGGACGAAATCCTGCACCAATTTGAAACCATGGAATGATGATTCCCCTGTAAATGCCAACAAACGTTCTGGCTTCAACCTTGGTTTCAAAGTGGTGCGAAATGGGAAATCCACCTCGCACCGCGAAATGAAACCATGGTGGAAACCATAACGTTTGCTGGTATTTACAAAGGAATCATCAGAAACCAGGGTGTCTTAGGTGGTGCGAAATGGATTTCGTCCATCCACAGTATGGGGCAGGGAGGCCTCATTTAGGGAGGGAGCCCCTCTTCCCCCCAGCCCCCCATGACTTTTGTTTGCCCCCCATGATTTTGCAGCCTTCTGTTCTCGGCGGCTTCCCCCCTTTAGATAAACTCTCACTCCCTGAGTTTTACTACGCGGACTGCAGTCACTTTTTAGGGGTTTGGACCATTTTAGTGGTAAATAAACAGCTCGGGCTGTTGTTTCACCACTTCACTCAGGGAGTGAGTGTTGGCTTCTCCGTTTAGTGGTGACCCAGTACTTTTTTGTCCACTTGACTGGCGAACTTGAGGACATCGTCACCAAGATCTCGCAGGTGCCAACCAGGGATGACAATCCCATCACACCCATCATGATGAAGTCTATCACCATCTCGGGAGCCTAAGCGACCCGAGCTTGGACGTACCTGTACGACGTACCTGCACATGACATGGTACAGTTTTTGGAAGAGTTTCGTTGCGACCCATCCGGGTCCATCCGTCTAATTGCACGGACCAATATCTGAGATACACAAGCAAAGAAGCACTCGCGGGTAGCCGGCTAGTCGCGCGCATCATGTGTTTCCAAGGCCATCTATTCATCTTTTCTGGGTGTGTCTTTTAGTACCCTTTTGGTTTGTGTTCCTTGTTTTTTTGGGGGAACAAAGGGAGGTACCCTTTGCTGGCGGCTGTTTAAAAGTGGGGCTTTCAAGGGACATCCCATCATTTTGAAAGTCTACTTTTGCTCTGAGAATGCCCTATGTGTGGTGGTTCCCATCGTCAGAGCAGCCCAATGGACCGTCCAGTGTTGTCAGTAAGTTTTGGTTGCTCTGCGCTTCGCCCGTTCTCTTATCAGCTTTATCTTTTCGAGGTTCAGCATTGGCTTAGCATTCGTTCAGTATTGCTTAGCACAGGTTTCAAGTATCAACCTAGAATTGGTTTAGTGTTGGTTCAGTGTTGATTTGGTACAGGTCGCCGGCTCTTTTGCCTTGAACTGTTGGGACAAACGTGTTGTTTCGCACACGCCCAAATGAGTTATTTTTATTTTTTTCCTCGGCAGAGTGCCCACTGCCAATCCCTTTGTCCAAAAATCCCGAACAGAACAGTTGCAAGGTTACAAGCGTATCCAATATGAAAGCTTTGTTTGTTTTTGTTTTGATCACTTTTGAAAATGGACAGTGTCCTTTTGATTGGTTAGAATAGATGGAACACCACTGGTTTAGAGGGTGTGTGTGTTCCATTTACCGGGGAAGCCCATCTATTTTTCAACTAGGAGGCCACCTATGGTGATGCGACTTAAGATGGTCAGGGCCCAAAGGTTCGGTACTATGTTTGAGACTGTTTGTGTATGTTTCGAGAGATTGTTGCAAAGGTGTGTTTGGGTTTTTCTATGTTGACATCGCGAGTTTTCTTTACGCGTTCTTTCGCCAATGTGCCTGGTTTTCAGCTTGTGTTTTTTTTTGTGGCCTCGCTTGTCCTGAGTTGCTTTTTTTGACTGGATAAGTCCCATAATACGCGAACACACACATGCATTCCAAAAAAATGCATTGACGACACACATGGAACGAGGGGCCATGATTTGATTTGGAAACTTGCTCCAGTCTCGCGGGCTTGATATGTTGCCCAGTGCCACATTTTGCAGGCAAACAACACACCCCAAACGGACATCCCCTCCAAATTTGTGGTTATACACTGGTTATTCATGGGTTATACAGGATACATACTGTGGATGGACGAAATCCATTTCGCACCACCTAAGACACCCTGGTTTCTGATGTTTCCCCTGTAAATACCAGCAAACAATGGTTTCCCATGGTTTCAAAGTGGTGCGAAGTGGATTTCGTCCATCCACAGTAGCTCAAACTCCGTCCCTAAGCAGGGCTCCTTAAAAGATACATGTTGCCCAATTGAAACATGTTTTTTTCCACCCAAATAAAGGGAAACCACCATGTACAAGGCAATGTTCAGGTGTATAATGTAAGGATCCCTGTGAGACTTGAGTGAGTGTCCGCCTTCGGCGTGTCCAGGATCTGGGGTTTCCTGGCGAGAGGCTGCAGCCCCTCGATGTGAGGCGCACGGCTGAGAATGACACGGGAGTGGGTCGTTGGAGCTCAACGCTTAGACCCCGCGGATCCGGCCCTCTTGTCTTCACCAGAATTAGCTCCATTTAGCTCCCCTTTTTGCTTTTTTGCTTTATTGGGGTTTCCTTTGTTTTCTACGAACCAGGCAAAACATATTTGTTTTGCTGGGGTCCTAATTCCAGCCAAGTTATAGCGGATCCTGTTTGTTTTGACGTTTTTTGGGGGTCCAACTCAGAACGTCGGCAACAATTGTCATAACGAAAGAAACACGATTCATTGCGTAAATAAAAGCAAGGCCTTAGTTGCATGTTGACACATGTTGCAACAGTGCGTGAATCATGCCACCCACTCCCACCCCAAACAAGAAAAGGACGAAGAAGATGAGACTGTAGCGGTCTTTGTTACCACAGTAGGGGGAGGTTGGGGACAAACCGCCACAGGAAATGCCGTCAAGATCTAAAAATTTGCTTCATGGGTACGAGTTCAGACACCGGGACGGACCGAGCGCGCCAAGGTTCGTCCCATCTCGAAAGCACTAGGCACTTCCCTATATAAGGCGTGATAAGATCGCCGCAAGTGGAGTAAACAGGTCTTTTGAAGGATCAACGAACCATGGAAACCAAGATTTCCCTGCGCTTCCTCTCCTTTCTATGGGGGGTTAGTCTTTGGGAAGCCCTCTTTGTTGTATAATTTCTCACAATCCTGTTGGTATCCGTTCGGTATAAGCCACTTATAAGTTCCCCGTGAAGGTGGGGTTAACCTTGTTTTAAGGGGGGTGGATGAAAAACCCCAAGCGGCGATCTAACCGCTTAACTTGGCAAATCGAACAATTCCACGCCTAGGTTACTAGCATGAGCGGGCTAACCTTGATATAAGGGCGTGAAACGCCCCAAACCACTTACTAACTTGCCCGAACATCCAAGTACAAAACGCCAACCCCGGTTGGCCAGTGCAGTCGTCAGCCGTAGACGTCCACCGAGTCGACCCAAGATCCGCCCAGTCAAAGCGCTCACTCTGCGAGCCAAATCTTCCTGGCGTTGCTGGCCATGGCATCTGGGGCCCGGAGCCCCCAGAATTGGATCACGGCCAGGGCTGACCCCTGGAACATAGCCCTGGAGCCAAACATCGTACAGAGGGCTTAAGGATCAGATTTCTTCTTGGGGGTTTGGGGGGATAGGAGAAACATTCTGGGGATAGAAGCCAGGAGCAGTTCATGCAGGTTGTAGGATGAATCACTCCCTCCGTTGAGGATTCAATCAGTTGTAGCCCAAGCAGTTGCAACCCATTCCGGGAAGGGAGGCGAAGAGGAGACGCTTTGCTTTAGATCATAGGCTGAAGTTGCCCCTCCCCCTATGGATGCCATGGCGATGAGCATTGGTCAATCCGCTTCAAATGAATGCTTGACTCAAGTCAAACGAGGGCCGCGAGCCTTTATGAAGCCCACCGAACCAGGTAAAGAATGAATGTAAACCTTGCTCAGAGCTTGCTAACCCCCCCCCCCGCAGTAAACCGTGCAATGGGAGTTTTGGTCGCTGATTGTTTCTTGTCGCGGCGCCAAGTTGTTGTTATCCTGGGAGTAGTTTAAACAGGGGTCTTTTTGTTTCTTCCCTTTTTGGTGGTTTTGAACATCACCTTGTTGGGACATGAAAGGTTAGTGTTCCTTGGTGAGGGTGATGTTTTAAGGGGAAATATACGGAGCCCAGGTACAGGGAGGTTTCAAGCTTCCATTTGCTTAATTTGTTCTTTCCCCCTGTTGGTTTTAAAATGAATGTATCACTACTGGAAATAGTATTAGGGGGAAAACGCAAATGGAAGAAAGATAAACTAAAGGGAGTGCGGTTTAGTTGGTGTCCCCTTGCCCCAGGTGGCGATCATGATCTGCTACTTTGGGCAAGACGCCGACGGCGGCTAAGCAGCAATTAGCTTCTACCGGACAAAAAGTTGAGCGAGCCCGGGTGAAAGGAGCTCACACATGAAGCTTCCTTACAGCTGGACAAGGTGATACTGTGGATGAACGAAATCCTGACCACCTAAGAAACTCTGATCAATTCCCCTGTAAATACCAACAAAGAATGGTTTCAACTAGGTGGTGCGAACGGATTTCGCCCATGCACAGTGGTGATTTGCCCGGATTCGGCGCGCAGATCCTCACAGATTGCTCCTGTGGCGTGTCGCATTCTGGTCCTCCAAGCCCAAAAATGGTCATACGAGTCGTGGATGGATGCGCACTCCATTTCGCACCCAAGAACCCCTGGAATGATTCGATTACTCTTTAAATGCCAGCAAACAATGGTTTCCCTGGGTTTCAAATTGGTGCAGAATGTTGTCCATCCACAGTATGAGTCATGTATCCCAAGCTGTCCGCCGGGAAAACCAGATTCTGTGTGACGCCGGCCCAAACCAGATTCTGCGTGATTCGAGAGCCCGCTGACCTTCTGGCAGTTGAGTGAAGACTTGGGCCATTGGGAGGTTCTTCGTACAAGTTTGTTCAGATCTGGGGGCTTCTGAGTTGTGCAGTTCTCCATGTTGACATGCATTGCAGAACCATGGTGTAAAAAATGCCGTGGATGGGCGAAATCCCCACCTAAGAAACCCTGGAATCTGAGGGCTGCTGGAAGGAAGCCTTGACTCGTTAGTGTCAATCATCGGGTGGGGAAAATCTGCCGATAGGTTAAGCACGAATCTGGAATCAAGTCTTGGGGAGACGATTTTTTTAGAGTTGGAAGTGCTAAATTGAGCATTGGCGATCGATCCCAAGTCCCACTCACACCCCCGCCCAAACTGCCACTAAAGAGGGTAGGCACTGTTCCGGGGCGTGGTTGGGGTTCGCATTAAAGAAGGTCCCACATTCTTGTTGTATATAAGGCTAAAGCAATCACAAAGTTGCTTGCTTTCAAGTTGTTTCCACGATTCACGCTTGGACAAGTTGCCCAACTTTGTCCGCCTACATCTAAGGTGCAATGGATATCGATGCCGAAGACAGGCGCGCATCTTCGGAAGGTTCGTCCAGGTGTTCGAAGTAGGGCTCAGCAGGTTCGCTTGATGCCAAGAGTGATTGGCCAGGCCTATCTTACCTGGTTCTTTCCTGCATCGCTGTTCATATAGCTTGTTCGCCATCCTTCAACAATGGACATGGCCTTCAATTCGGGTGTCGAACGAGGGACATCAGGCTTGAACAGTGCAAGGGAAGTGTCTGTCAAAACAACATGTCGGCCATTTCGGTGTGGAACTTTCAGGTTGCGTTCTCCTCAACCCAGTTCTCTTCTTGCAAACACCAAGCTGGGAACTGTTCCCCCCACCCCCGTGTTTGAGTCTTTTCTGCGCGATTGCGACAAGCTCACCTCAGGAAACAAGTTCATTGATGAGCCGAGCGGCATACATCATGCGGATGTTTGCCAGGTCTTTCGTACGTTGTAACCTGAGGTTCTCCCCCCGCAGAAAATTTGAGGCCTGGACTGGCTGAACCCTCGAAGCTCCAGGACGAGATCCGATCGAGGCTTTTTCTATATGGCGAGCTCACCGATTCGGGGTTTTTCACGGGGGGGGGGGGAGTGTTTGGGGGGGGGGGGGGGGAGTGTTTGCGGGGGGGGGGGGAGTGTTTGGGGGGGAGAAAAGTGTTTTATAACGAGCTCACCATGGTGAAAGTGTTTTACTTGAGGATGCCTGCAAAGAAATGGTTTGAATGGCAGTTGCTCCAGCGAGCTGCTTTCATGCTGTCAATGTCAATGCTTTCATGCTGTCAACGCACCCCGTGAAATCGAAGCTTCCATTTGCTTCGATTTATTTCCCCTGTTGGTTTTAAAGGGAATCTATCGCTACTGGAAATATGTTTTTTTTGGTTTTTTCCAGGGGACTTAAGCAAATGGAGGGAAGGTTTCCACCCCACAGCTGCTCCCCTCCAGGGCGTTTTTTCGCCAGGGAGTTTGGCCGGGAAGCACGTGCGCCCATGTTCCGGCCAGCGGGGAACCTCAGCACAGGGCTCGGTACAACCGGTACCTCGGGGCCTGTGTTGCCTTCCATTCAAGCGGAAATGAGTATGTTTGATATGTTGTTTTTTTGCCTGGGTTTTGATTCTTTGAGTGGGAATTAATTTCACTCTTGGACATTGCCAGCATTTATGAAGCAGGGGGTGAAAAAGCAAATAGAGGTGAGCTCATCTTCCAGGAAGTTAGCTCATCTTCCAGGAGGTTATGATTCGATCTGTGTTTGATGGCGAGTCACCGATTCGATCTGGGGTAAAACGAGCGAGCTCACCATGCGCAAAGATCCCTAAACTTGGGGATCCCTAAATTAATGTTCTAGAATTATAGTAAGACTTGCCGATTCTATCCAAGACCCATTTCAGCGATCGGGAATCGCGACTTGAGACGCCTAAAGAAGCCGCGCCATTCAAAGGGTGCTGCAAAGTCTTGGAACATACCTGGAGTCTCCATGACCCTTAAAAAATGGGGTCATTACCCAAAATTAAGGGGTCATGACCATTTTTTAAAGGGTCATGGAGACTCTAGGTACTCGAGCGACATGTTGTTGCATGCACTGTACACTTCGCTCTTGCTTTTCAATTTTTGGCATGAGATGTTCCAACAGCCAACTTCTCCAAACCTGACGCTGACCAACAGTCGTAGGCCAGCACTAGACCACCAACACATCCACAGGACAAACTGGAGCGTCAAGCCCAAAAAATGCTTGCGCCTTGAAAATGACGGAATGGGGGGAGGAGCGGGGGGGGGGCGAAGGGCAAAATGGTGGCGTTCCTTTTGGTGTCCCCTTAAACCAACCCCACCAAAAAGAAGAACACTCATTTAAAGGTTGACCACCGACTAGGTCCCCCAGTAGTGCCCTTCTCTCCCAACTTTTTTGGTTGGGAGGGTTCCCCTACTAAAAACAGACAGAACAAATGGGTACCCTTATTCTAACCTCTCCACTGGAGAAGCTAGCCGAGCCCGAGGCAGCTCCTGAGGCGGAGCCTGAGCTGGTCAAGGACCCGCAGCTTGGCTTAGGCGTGCTTGTCTTAAGGCGAAGGCGGAAAAAACAACACGCGGGGCAGGGTGCCTCGGACCTCGTCTTCTTGGGACTCGGACCCCCAAGATGGTGCTGTTCCGTTGGATTTCCCGTAAAACAACCAGCCAAAAGCAGGTAGCCTCGAAAAAGACACACCCAGTTCTGGCAGCGTCTGGGTTTTGGCCAGAGGAGATCGAAAACAAGTTTGACTGCTATGTACCCTCTCTCCAACTAACATAGCACCTCACAGAGGGTCGCTTCAAGAGGAAATTGATCTTCCAGGTACCCTCACGCAGGTGCTATGTTAGTGGGAGAGGGTAATACAATTTCAATCAGGTAGATCTGTGTTTCATGACCTCACAGTTCAAGCTTGAGCTTGTTTGCCTGATATATAGGGAGCTCACCGATTCGAGGGTATAAGCAGCTCACCCTGATCTAAAATATGATTTTTCGGCTGGGGGGCATTTGCGAGTTCTGCGCAGGATACTCCAGCGCCAGAAAGCACAGAAGCCGCAACAGAAGCAGCGGAATGAGTCGTGAAAAGCAGCGATCGATTGTTATGATGCTTAGCCCGGATTACTTGGTGGGGTGGGTTGGAGTGAGATTGGAGTGGAGTTGGGGGAACCCCCCGAACAATTCACCAGGCTGATCTATTTGGGATCGATAAGTTTGAATCAAGCACCACTAAAATGGTCCAAGCCAACTTTGGTGGCTGTTTTTGGGGCAGGGCTCAAGAATACTGCTGTCATTGGGCTATGCAAGCTCTTCAATTCCTTTCTTGCACCATTTATACTGTACAGCATGTCGCAAGTATCTTCTATCTTCTGGCACTGTTCCCGGTGGGAACTTAACGTGCAACACGTGCTAGAATATTGAGATGTTAGTTTTAGCGTAAGCTGAAACGGTTATGCGTACGGGCAATCCCCCAATTGGGGTTCTAGGCTGTTATACTTGAAGGTTCATGCGTAGCTGCAAGTGGAGAGTTTGCGTGTTGTTTAACTAACCCACAAACTTTCAAGTTTGGTTTAGGTCTTACAGCCAATGTTCTCAGGTTATCCCTAACTAGTAGGATTTGAACCTCTGGTTCTTGTTGGAAACCACCCCTGACCAGGCTCCAAGCCACTCACAAGACGAGAACTCCAGCCAATCCCGTTCCCAGAACGACCACCGTGCCTTACCGACTTCTTTGGCCCTAAAAGTATGTAAGAGCTTTCCTGGACATTTTGGTGGCAGGTACTTGGACCCAAGATGGGCTTCTTATGGCGCTTGGTTTCAAGTTGATGCTCGCTCCTCGAGGCGCGACAGAGTTTCATGGCAAACTCCTCACAAGGAACCGTCCATACAGGCCCCACTGAGCCCTGCGTTGCAAGGGGGTTCCTGGTCACGCCTGAAGGTTCCTTGACTCAAAGCCCTGAGCCTAACACCTGAACCAGTCCTATTAATAAACTGGGGTTGCTTAATATATAACTAATAACCGAATCATTCGGCCTCCTTCAACCTGGACAAGCCCTCCAGCTTTTATGCTTGCATGGGACAGCCAATAATTTACATTTTTTTTAAATTTATTTTTTTAAGAAGAGAAGGAGCAAGTAGGGTTCCAAGTACCACAGGCCTGTACCAGATATAAGTGTCTTTACAGCAGTTGTTGGTGCAGGGAACATTTGGTGATTGTTCAGGTGATCGGATTTATACGCTTTATTGGTTGCTCGGCCCAGTCTTTGGGCTATTTGCGACAGTGCGGACGATGTCGACTGCTTGGCGCTATGGTTTCTCCAACGCGCCCTTGCTGGCCACCCCTCTGCAACAAAACCTCCGTCCAGCTGGGTTCATGGCAATCTCCGCAAGTGCTTTGTTCTTGCTGGGGTTCTTCCCTGCCTGGCTGCAGTTCTTCACAGTAGGGCAGTTGCATTTGGATCCCTGGTTTCAGGAGCCGTCATTGAGGTGCCTTGGTGGATTTTGCGCTCGCATGCGCAGCTGGCGACTCTCTGGGGCGTACTGGCAATTCTGCAAACAATGCTCGGCATGGGGCTTTGCAAGGCCCCAAAAAAGCTTCATCAAGTTCTGGGCTACTTCTTGATCTTTCTCGGGGTATTTGCATTTGGCAGTGGCAGCCTTCTCGAAATTTTGGAGTATGGAGGCTGCATTACCTGGTTGCATCTGCTGGAAGCTGTGATGATCTTTCTCCACTTTGGGCTTCTGGTTCATTTTGCTCGTGCTAGGCAGCAGAAGGAACATGCAGTTACTGCTCTGTCGCTGTCCATTTGGACTTTGTATCCAGGCTGGGCACGTATCTGCGGATTCGCTCTTGAGTTCCAGCTTCGAATTCCATGCGGCCTAGAAGTGTGGGATGGTTATGAGTTCTGTGCAGCTTCCTGCTGCGCCGCAGCTTTGCTTTTGCTTGCCTTGCGAGAAAAAAGCCTCGCTGCCATGGAGCAGAGGGCAATTCTCACGTCTCAAGCCGTACTTCTGGTGAGCAGCCTAGTCTTCGCAATATATGCAGTGGTCGATCTAATTCACGCATTGTTTGTCTCGCACAGCTTCCTGCGATGCCCAGAGTGACATTCCTCATGCTGGGAAGACATGCTTGAGGATAGTGGCGTGAGAGGCTTGAATGGCGGCTTCTTGTCCATGCCTGATTGCCCCACCCAAGGCACCCAACATGATCGTGGGGATGGTCCTTCCCACGGCGATGTTGTTGCTTACACACTGGGGCATATGCAAGCGGCGCCGGAGTACGAGATCTTGGCAGGAGCATCTCCAACAATACACAGCATCTTTGGCTCTCAGGGGGCCAACGTAGAGGCCAAGGTATGGAGATGTTTGCAGCATTCTTTTGTATGACGGTACGGCGATGAGCATGTTGACGGTGCCCGAGTCATCTCAACTTGGTTTATGTGTGTTTCTGAATATATAAAAATATTATTGTTTATAGTCAACAATATTATATAATAAGAATGATTTAATTGAATAAATATTGTTCTTATTTATTATAATTTATAATAATAATGAATTATAGATATATATTATATTAGGTTGAAAGAATTTTAATTTATATATTATTTTTGGAATATGTGGTCGGATTATACCATGGTTATTAAGAATTCCAAATTGTTTGGGTAATATTTTGGGGTTTTGTCGGGTTGTGCGAAGAGGTGGGAATTTATATTACGGAAAAAAAGATTGGGATAAAAATCGTTTGTCGTAATTAATTTTTATGGATTGGTTTTTAAAGTTGTGAGGGTTATGGGGGGTCGTTTTAGGGGTTTTACGAGGGTTATGGGGTGTTATATGTTGTTGGGGATATTATTTGAATTATTTTTCTTTGATTTTTTTGTTGATTTTATTATGGATTTAATGGGTTTTGCTTAATTTATTATATTTGTTTTGATATTGATTATTTTTGATTCTAATAAAATATGTTTTAAAGATTTATATTTAAAGATTTATATTTTTGTTGTTCTTTAAATAAAAAAATGATTTTTAGGAATAATAATTGATTAATTAAATATTATATTAATATATTTTGAAATATATATATATATATTTATTTTATAAAATGAATTTGTGAAATGTTTTTTTTTTTTTTTTGATTGTTTTTCGAAAATTGGTTCGGGTTGCTCCTGGAAGATATAATCGCTTTATATTTTTTTCGGATTATTTATTTAAATTGGTTAGGGCTATTTCGGCCATATTCCGGAAGATGTAGTGGTTTTATTTTTTCTTTTGACCCCGAAATATTTTAGATATTTCTGCAAAATCGTGTTTTATTTAAATATTCTAAATATTTCGGGAAATGTTATAAACACCGAAATATTTGGGATATTTCGGAAAAATGGAAGTTTGTATGTCTTTTAAATAAAGAATCGGGATATATAGTTGTTTGTCCATAGCAATTTTGGTTGAAATCTTGGTCCATTTTCCGAGAATTTGGCGATACGAGAAACTATGAGCCGTGGTCGATTGTTATGACCAGTGGTGTTTTTCCCAATGCTTTGGGCGAAAGCAGTTCGGCTTTGCTTGTACCCAGGACGGTTTCTGATCGATCGCCTTTTCGCTTGCGTTTGCAACAATTGTGTGTCGATGAATCTTTTGAGGCTATCAGTCCATGGATCCGTTCTCACCTTGCTCAAGCAACCGCCTTTCACTGACTCTTTGGCGTGATCTTATCGCGCCCGGCCCTCAGTGCGTCTCGCGACTTGTGTTTGGAGAACGGTAGTATGCTTTTCGCGCACGACGAGTATACATTATTTAATACATATGAGATGATAAGATGTGTTTATTTTTTTTACTGTATATTCTGATTTTGTTATTCTTTTGTCATGGGTTTTATTTTACATGTTGTTGGAAAATAATTGACCCCCGCTAATATATATTTGTTTGTTTTGGATATTTATAACTAATAATGATTAAATTAAATAAGCAAAATTATATATAGTATTTATGAATACATATAATAATATAATTTATTACTATATTTATAGATATAGAGATGTTTTTATATTGAATATTTATATATATATAAATTATTTATTTATTGTTGGATATATATATATATAAAAAATGATCTTTGATTAATATCTTCTAAATGATATATTTATTTATTATATTTAATTAATATGTTTTAAATATGTATGTGTTTCTCAAATGATAATACAAATATGATATGTTTAACAGATCTAGGTATAAGGGATATTAAAAATTGATTTTTTTTAATGATGTGGAAATATTGGAAGTATCAGTGAATTTGACTTAATGCGAACGATATATATAATATTTATATATTTTTGAAAATTAGAATATATAAATATATTATTAATAAATTATTCTATAATCAATGGTTGTTTTTCTTAATATATATATTCGACTAATATATATATATATATAATTGATAATTCTATATATATATATAGGTATTTATGATTTATGTTTATTGGAAATCCATAATTATGAAATAATAATCTAAGCTAATATTTATGTAGTGAATGATTTAACCTTGATTGAATGATATTGTTAAAGGATTCTTTTGCTAAGAAATTTAGGGACTAGATTATTTACCGATATACTCGGGTGATTTCTTTGTTAAGAAGTCCAAGGAATGGATTTATTAGCAATCTCTTCCGATGATAAAGAATTCCTTTATTAAGAAATCCAATGATTGGATTTCATAGCGGCCTTTTCGGTTAATGAAGAGCTCCTTTGCTAATTTTGTTAAAAATCTAGGGGCTGGATTTCCTGGCGATTATTTCGATTAATAAAGAGTTCGTTTGCTAAGAATTCTTAGCGAGTTCTTATAACCTTTTCGGATGATGAAGGATTCCTTTATTAAGAAATCCTGGGGCCAGATTTCAATCTAATGCTCTTTTGCTAAGAAATCTAGGGGCTGAATTTCTTAACGATAAGCAATTATTTTAATGTTAAACCCTCTTTACACCATCACCACCCCCCCCGACTAGGAGTGGAACCAATTAGTTGAACCCTCTTTAAACGAGATCTCGGGGGGTCTAGGAAGAATAATATTTATTTTAGTATTGCTAATTGAATGTTAGTATTATTAAAATTAAGCCTCAAATTCCTAGTATGTACTTTATTATTGCCAATTATTTTTTAGTATTATGGATTAGATTCTTAACATGTAGTTTAATATTACCAATTCTATTGTAATATTATTAAGGACCTTCTGTTTTTTTGTAATCTTTAAATAGATTAACCATTAAAAAGGATCCCAAAATAATCGTATTAAAGAGGATTAGGGTCCCTGGTGGGCATCCCCCCTTTACGTGATTGTTTAGTCGTACATTTTTGTAAAGAACATATAATAAATTTAATAATTTAGGGGGCACTGGCAAAATAATTTTCTTAGATCTAAGGCCTTTACCCTTTGAGCTGGGAAGAGGGTGAACCGCCCTAAAAGAAAGAGGCTAAGGCTTGAATATAAGTAATTTCAGCAACCTAAAAAGCCGTTAGACACTAAAAAGAACCCCAAAACAGTTATATTAAAAGAAACTCGGGGCCTCTTGTGGGCAACCCCCTTTGTGTGATTATTTGTCCACATTAATTTAAAAAGAAATTATCTTAAATTTGATGATTTGGGAACTATTTCAAAAGATCCTATTTGTCCGGATTTATTTACTCGTTTTTTACTCGATTTCTTTGCTAAATTTGTTTGGCCCATATTTTATCGGAGGCTTAGATCGAAACAAAAATAAAATATTATTTTTTTAAAAGGGGAATCATTATTGTAATTAAAGACCCCAAAACTCTCATAAGATCCTAAATTACGAAAAACAAATACCAAAATAGAATAGATTATTAATAAACAAAATATATAATATTAATAAACAAATCTAGGGGCCGGATTTCTGAGTGATTTAGTCGGATATTTTAAAGGATTCCTTTGCTAAGAAATCTAGGAATTGGATTTCTTAATGGTCTTTCAAGGAGATAAATAAATTCCTTTATTAAGAAATCTATGGGTTAGATTTCTAAATGTTTTTTTCGGGTAACGAAACATACAACAACATCCAGGGATATAATTCTCTCAAAATTTCTAAATGGTGTTTTCAGAAATTAAATTTCTAAATGGCATTTTCATTAAGAGATCCAAGAATTAGATATCTTAATTCTTTTTTCGGCTAATAACAAAATTTCGATTCTTTGGAAATAATAATAAAATATCGTTATTAAGAAATTCAATAATCAATTATATTTCGTTTTTCTTTTCGGAGAAATATATATATATATATATATTTTACAAAAAAAAAAATATATATATTTCTAAAACATTTTATCGAACCATTAATATAATTCATATTGCATTAATTATATTAATATATATATATATGGTTCCTCCCTGCAGGG